TAACTGACAGAAGCCTCAGATTTCTACTCTGTGGTCTAAAGAACTATAAATGAATCAAAGCCTATTCTGTCTGCTCATGTTATGAAATGTATCACATAATTTGGCACCTGTAAAGTAATCCCACCAAAGATACTGTGCAATTCAAAGCTTCAGTCCTTCAGTCTCTCCTCATAGCGCACATTCTCCAAGCCCTTCACAAGCCTTGTTGCCCTTCTTTGAACCTGCTCCAGCACCTCCATGTCCTTTCTGCACTGAGGTGCCCAAAACTGAACACAGTACTTGAAGTGAGGCTTCACCAATGCCAAGTAAAGGGGTGGGATTACTTTCCTAGTCCTGCTCACCACAACATTCCTGATCCAAGCCAGGATGCCATTGGCCTTCTTGGCCACCTGAGCACACTGCTGGCTCACATTCAGCCAACTGCCCATCAATACACCAAGGTCCCTTTCCATCAGGCAGCTTTCCAGCCACTCCTCCCCAAGCCTGTAGGGTTGCCTGGGGTTGTTATGTTCAAAATGCAGGACCTGACATTTGGCCCTATTGAAACTCATACAGTTTGCCTTAGCCCATCGATCCAGTCTGTCCAGGTCCCTCTGTAGTGCCTTTCTCCCCTCAGGCAGATCAACACTCCCTCCCAACTTGGTGTTGTCTGCAAACTTACTGAGGGTGCACTCAATCCCCTCACCAAGATCATTAATAAAGATGTTAAGCCACTCCAGGTATCAGAGAAAAGTGCTTGTGAACTACACCCTACACTGAAAGCAATCACAAACTTGTTTTTCTGTCTGGCCTATCCCATTTTAAGTACTGAGAGTAACAGAAAGTGTGAGAAACTATACTGTCCATTTTCTTTACACACATCACAGAGAATTCATGAGTCAAGAAATAACTACAGTCTTCAAATAATAATTCCTGTCCTCACCTGAAATAAGAAATAGTTACACATAACGTCAGCAGGACAAGCTGATGGCATTTTTGGAAGAATTTATTTAAAGGCTCACTCTTGCAAAAAGTTATAAAGTGTACATTTAAAAAATTTTATGAATGTTTATATATTACATCGTATGTATACTTATAAATGATGTGTGTATATTTATATATCTGTGTGTGTGCATGCTTGTTTTTATTTAAAGTTCTCTGAAATACATTGTTATCCTGCAACAAAAATAAACTGCCACGGAATACAGCATTGCACAGTGTCCTCCACAGGATTTCTCTACAAGCATCAAAATACACTGATAGCTACACTGAGTTAATTTGAATTAAGGTATTTATTTTTGTTTCTTTGACAAAATCACTATCTACTGACTTAACTACGGATGGTGGTTTTGCCTTTGTAAAGAAGCAGCAACTTATAGTGTTCTTTTAAATGAGTTTGCATGAGTATGTAGCTAAAAAAAAAAAAAAAGAAAAATGCAGTTTAAGCTCTTTAACGTGTTTTAGTTAATTATTAAAACTGGCAAGTTTAAATAATACAAACTGAAAAAATACTCTACTGAAATACAGGTAAAGTATTACCTTAGCTATTTCCCCTTTTTACTTGCATAAGTGCATTCACACAATCATTGCACCCCAAATCTCTGTCTTTACCAAAGACATGCTATGGAAAAAAAAAGGGGGAACTTGAACTACACAGAAATATATTAAGAACTTCACAATGTGACCTGTAGTTTTTACTGAAATAAATTAATGGGTGGCATGCAGATGCCCAGATGAAGCAGAGCAGTAACAAAACATTAGTAAGCACTTTTAATGTAATTAATTTTTGATATATTACAATTTTTAGCATGTAATTATTTTTGAAGGAACTCCAGAGTAATATTGGATCATGTGTTTATTCCAACTAGTTAGTAAAGAATAAAATGTGACAATATTTTGAAATTTTATTGCAGAATAAGACCGAGTTGTCCATCACAAATAATGATGCCAAGATTTCTCTCATCTGATAATCAGTTTCAATGATTACCTGCTAAAAGGTCAATGCTTGGTACTACAAAATCCCTTGGTCAGCCTAGAATCCAAGTGGGCATTGAAATGTGCTATATAAAGCACCTAGGCTTGCAGTGACCTTGAATCTGTTTCCTTATTGCTGGAGGCTGGGATTGTTCCATGGCTGCATTCCCAGTCTGCATCAAGAGGCTGGTACGAACATCAATCTTTAACACCGGTCTTTAAAACAATTTTTGATGTTGGCCTTGAATAGGTCTAATAATTTTGCTTAATCACCTCTGTTCCAACACAAAAACTGGAATCTAGGCTGACTTCTAATTTTTCATTCTTGTGAAATCCAGCCACAAGCTTCCTGTCTGCCATCAAATATCTGGAATCACAATTAGACAAAATATGTCAGATGCCCTGTGACACCCAATCATCTTTATTGCATAGAAGTTCACTTTCAAGCTTAGTGTAGAACAAATTCCACTTGGTTCAAAGGTCTGTACTTCCAAAGAAAAATGAGAACGCTCATATGCATATTTAAATATGCAGATGTGATGTATCCAATTTGCACTGTCACCTAATGAGAATGACCTTTTCTACTGAGCAGAAACAGCAATTGTTGAACTTGAGCATGTGAAAGTTGTGGTTAAATACAGAATTCCAAATGTCCATCTAAGTAGATCAAATGCTTACTTCTCTTAATCAAAAACAATCATGGTCATATTGAACCCTAAATCATAGAATCATAGGATGGCTTGGGTTGGAAGGGACTTCAAAGATCATCAAGCTCCAATCCCCTGCCATGGGCTGGTTGCCACCCACCAGCTAAGGCTCAGGGCTCCATCCCAACCTGGCCTTGAGCACCTCCAGGGATGGGGCATCGAGAGCTTCTCTGGGCAGCAATGCCAGTACCTAAATGCCCTCTCAATGAAAAATCCCAGTGCTTCTTCATCCTTAGGGAAATCCAATTAGGTTCAGAACTTGAATTTTGCTGCTTAGATCTATTTCTCGTAACACTTCTTGCCTAGCACTCTTCCTATTTGCCAGTCTTTACAAAGAACATCTAAACAATTTCCTCACCATCACTGTAGTGCATGTTAACGCACAGCATATTTATAAGTATTTTGAAAACCTAAATTCAAAAAAAGAGATTTAGCTCAGGACTTAGAGGCAGTTAATATGGCAAGACTGGAACTCAGTTTGACCTTTGTTTTGATCCTGTGTTCAAATACATTAGATCAAGTTTTAGCAATACTCAAATTGAAATGGAGAAAAAGCCATGATCAATTTACCAAGCAGCATTAGAGTCGTATAACCTGTGTTGTTCTATTTCTGTGAATGCCAAAGAAGGGAAACATCTCCTGCATGTAGGTAGCTCGCCTGTAGACAAATAGCATCAATAATTGGCTGTTTTGTTTACCCTCTTTAGTTACCCTCTGTACTGAAACAAAAGGTCAAATTGTCAGTATGCTTGCCTTCCTCTACAGCATACTCTATATGCATGCATGATTGGGGATTAAAGAAATGTAAATTCAAGCAAGCAAACATCTTGGCATATCTTATAGGCAAAAGCACAATTATCTATTCTCTCTGTTGTTTCTTTTTCATTAGGGGACTGCAGAATCTTCCCATAATAGATCAGGTCTCCATATTGTGAGAATTTAGAAATACCTAATGAAAATATGGCACCTACAGTTATGAACTTATAACTGCCAGTGTAAGATCAAGAATAAAACCCTTCCAGTTATTTCTGTAACTGTAATATTCTACACGATACTAACACATACCATCTTCTCCCATGGTTATATACAGGAGAGGAGTGCAGTAAGTTTAACAGTGTGGCTCTGTAAGTGAATCCAAACAGATATGCATTGTCCTAAAAATAAGTATCTTACCTTACACATCAGTGAGGAAGGAGAAAATTCATACTGAGAAAAGAAATTCCAACTATACAGATGTGCACACACATACACAGTTGTATAGAGCCTTGTTATTTATATTAGTTTACTTGTCAGCATGCTATTTTTGCAAAATAATTGAGGAGAACAAGAGACAGAAAGCTCATGATAAACACTGCAACTATATTAAAAGGGGTTTTGTAATTGTTCTTATTTTCACCTGTGTTTCAGAATCTATTTCATATGTGGCACAGGTGTTAATACGGATGGGTACAGAAAGACCAGCTGTACTTGTAAAGTAATGAATTCTCATTTAAATCAACACGGGAACTAACTGTCCCACCAGCAGGATTTCCTGACACAGTACATTTTTGTAATCTGCTAATGGAGCCTTTTCATAACTCATTTAACCTAGTTGCAGCCTGTACTGCCATTGGAAAGGGCACTTCCCTTTCCTATTGCTGTCTACCTCTTTCTGAAGCCAAAAAACAAATAAACAAACAAAAAAAAAAACCCTGATCCAGGACCAGTAACAATTTATTAATTACATTTGGATCAAATCTTGGATTTGGTGAATTATGCCATAAGTCCTGGTGTTAGCATAAAGAAGGGTAAGGAAATATATTGCCAGGACAAGTAAGGCAGAATGTGTTATCCTGTAGCAGCTGCAAAAAAAATAATAAGTTGATCTGTAAAGTTAAAGATTGCCTGAAAGAGACATTACCAGGTATAGGAGTATATTAGAGTGGCTTCCAGAGTCAGGTATGTGCCAGACTCAAATATGAGGTTGTTAGAATTTGTATATGCATGGTTTTGTTTCACTGCCCCATCCTTTGGGCAGCAAAATGCCAAATACTCTCTGGCTGCCTTAAACAATTGTCTGCAGCTGTCATGCAAAGCTGCCTCTTGAACCAGTGGAGATCTCATCATCTGGTTAATGGAGATTGGGGTGCTGTCCATCTCATTCTGAAACTGAAGTTTAAAATGAGTTAGATGAGTTTTCCTCTTGAAGTGACTCCATCTTGTCTGGCAGAGCTAAATCGGTGCTGCAGTTTCAAAGCACTTTGTGGGAACAGTCAGGGAGGAAAAGGCTTTGTCAGGCTGGAATGTTCTGATGATGGTGGACATTATCAATGTCTTGTGAGGACTTTCTAGATTATAGATTTATGGATTAAAACTGGCGGTGATTATAAAGTCATTCGTGAGTACGTTATGAGAAGTATTATTATAATGCACAACTACTCACCAATCCAGCTTTCAGCACAGTCACAGTTGCATCAGCAAATCACAGGGTGTTATCCCGAAATGACAGAGGTACAAACTGGCCATCACATGGTGGATGAAGATGTGGCTGCTGAGAGAAGGAAATAAGGTGCATACAATCTATGAAAAAACTCTTTCACAGAGCACATTGAAGCATAGAATTGACCTGGATGTATCCAGAGGAATCTCACTTAACCCTCCCAGGCAGAGATCTGAGGCCTGAGTTAGCGGGTGTAACATCACAAAGCACAAGATATTTCTAAGTCATTTTACATGTAACATAACTAAGATTGGATTAATCTCACTCAACAGCAGATATCTACAATGATTTTTCAGCTGGATTGATCTCTGCAGGCTCTCTTTACAGTCATTGTAGATTACACAGTGATTAATCTTTTTCTAAACCAGTTCCTCACCTCTAGAAGCTACTTTTCCTTTCCTTTGAGTCAAGAGGGACCCTAGGTTAATTTGCTCAACTGTAAACATCTATTCACAGATAACTAAAACTAACTGGTAAGATTCCATCTTCAAGGCATGTGGAGACTAGGAATCCAATCTTGGGAAAAGCCTGAGAAGTTCAGATACTTTGATTTGCTTAAGGCTCTGCTGAGCTCTCTGCTTTCTATTTAAACTGCAATAGACATAAATCTCATAATTTGCTTGCAAGCAAAGAGAAGAAAGTCTCTAACTAAAATGCCATGTTCTAGTTACAGTTGGCAAGTAGAGTTCCTGAATTAGAACTGTATATAAATTGCTTTGTCAAGAACAATAACGTAATATACTATAGGAACAGATATTAAGATGTGGAATAGCAACCAACAATTATAAATTGGTTTTACTGTTACAGCACATGTCACCGGATCCTAAGCTTGCTGTCATCGTGGAAAGGCTTCCAAGTACCTGATTGCACCTTGACTCAGATACATATCATGTTTTGTACGTTTAACAGAGCTGCAGGAATAATGGAGTAAGACTTTTGGTAGTAGTTAAGAACACCCACTGAGCTAAAGAAAAGCTGCTGGAAACTGTCTCTGAAAACAATTAACTTACCCTGCATGTTAAAAGACAGTGGAATGAACAGTAACACTGAGCATCACTATTGATGCTCCTGTGAGTGCTAATAATAATAAGTAACATGCTCCTGTGAGTGGCATGTTACTTATTATTGCCAGCACTTTCACTTTTTACAGTTAAATGAATAGGAAAAAGGTGATTTGTTGAACTCTTGCAGTCATACGTATCTATTCCAGAGCACCATTCCTACTCTCGAGCGTTTGTTTTTTTTCAAGTTGCCCCATCAGAATTAAACAACAAAAATGGGCACAGATTGATCTTTGGGGGAGAGAGTTACAAGCAATACAGTGAAACTAAGTAATTAAAAAAAAAAAGGAGAAAGAACAGAGGAAAAAAGAAATGTTCCTTGTTAAATATTTACTTCATCTCTGATGAAAATTGCCTTGTCAATGACAGCATAATACAAGTGTTCTTTAAGTAAGGTCAACTTGCAGCACAGACTTTAAGTCTTCTATAAAGGCATTTCATTGATTATATAAATGTCATATAGGAAATGCAAAGTACCATAATGTGGGAGTTTGATCAATGATGTTATCCTGATTTATAACTGTGTATTTTTGGACTGTGATGTGCACAAAGCACTAATTTAAAACCTCATTTTAGTTGCAACCTACCTTTTCCTTTTAATAACAAGAAAGTCATCTGATCACGTTCTTTCAGTTATCCCCATGTCACGTATTAGATAATCCCCTTATAGTTTAAAACTAAAAATGCTAATGGATTGGGGAAATGGGATTTTGCTTTCACACATTATACCTGTCTTTTTATGCTTGCCTTTCAGATCATTTATCTAAATAATAACCTTCAGTACCCACTCCTTCCTTCCAATGAACTAAAACACATTAATGATTAAAGTCAGTGAAAACATCCTCTCCCTGATCTAATTTTGCTTGCTGAGATTACCACTTTCAGCTCCTACTTTCCTACTTCTTTTTGGAGGGAGGGTGAAGGGGGAGTTACAGACTTGTAGAGCTGCTCTTATAATTAATTCCTAGTTCATTTCAATTAAAACAGCCTGTACTAGTTTACATAAACTGTAGATAGTTGTTAATGAGTATCACCACTCAACAGTGACTGAGAGGGCATTGATTTCAGGGACTAAAAGACAGAAATGATATGGAAAACTCAGCAAACAGCTTTTAATCAGAAAATCTGTAGGGGCAGCCTAAAAAAGGGGAAGTACTATACCTTCACACTTGCATGTGAAGGTGCTGCAGGTGGTAGCTTCTGCTGGCAAACTTGGAGATAAAGGAGGAGGCATTTCAATGGTCTCAGTGTCAGAATGATGGAAGATAAGTTAAAAAAAAAAGATAACTGGCCCAGGGCCAGATACAAAGATTGTGGAAATTCTGGAACTACCAGGACAGCGTACTTATGTAGTTCAACTTTAATTATGCCTGACTTAAGTTGTAAGACTTTGTTCTGAAAAGAAAAAAAATAAATAGAAATCTCAGCAACGGAGATGTGTCTTCAAAGCAATAAGGAAATAACTTCTCTCACCCACCAGTAACTTCTGAGACAGATGGAACTGAAGAGCCATCAACTTTGTACTGATCTGAGACTTTGGAAAACATATTCCAAAGGATAAGTATCCTCTCACAGAAAATCTCTCGCAGCCCTTCTTTTTCACACAAGAACAAATGTCAGTTCTGCTGACCACAGTGGTGGCAACATGACATGGTAGTGAACAGCATCTCAAGTAAGCAGGTGCCATAGGATGTCACAACTGTCTCAAGGAAGCTCACGCTATTCTGCTGCACTCCTTGCTCTGAATAAATTCATCCTGGTACTAACTGTAGAGTCAAAAAAGGCTTTGGATTTAAAGAGAAATTTTTACATGAATCAGGCAGCTTTCTCCATTGATAAGAACAAAGAATGACCCTGTGAAATCAACCTAAAAGTCTTCCTGGAACAACATAGATATTTCCTGTGCTGATAAATAGCAATATGTTCTCAACAGTGGCAAATTACAAAAGAGCAAATATCTACCTATCAGTGTAATATAGACACTAAATAACATATTCATAACTTGTGGGAGGTGACCAGGAAAAATAGCAGGCAGGTGGCTAAAGGATGGGTGTCCAAATCATTCTGCAAAGGAAAAAAAAAAAAAGCAAGCATGGATAAAATTTAATAGCAGAAGACATCTGCTAACAAAGGTTATCTCAGCAGAAAGCAAAAACATCCAGAAGCAACAATTCTATATGAAGTTTCATTTCCAGTGAATTATGCCATTACATTCAATTTAATTCTGAATAGGAAACCTGCCATTACTGCTTGTTCTCTGCTGTGGGATCACTGTCAAAACAAAGAATTATAAAATGTTCACCCAGTTCTGAGTTCAGATTTGCTAAGCGATGCTGATAGGATGCAGAGATCTAAATGTGAAATCCACGCATATTGTTATTTCTTTCAGTACAGCATTTTCTTGATGATTACTTTTAGATTTTCTCTCAAATTCTGCTTTACCTTGATTCTTAGAAAGTGTTTGTAGCAAGTGATGGTTACTTCTGTATTTTTTGCTGAAGTAGCATGTCCAATTTCATCCAAATTTTGGATTATGTATTCAGCAAAATAAATGTTTTCCTCTGGCGCATGAACTGTTGGTGATCATGTAGGTGGCAAATATTGCCATTCTCTTTCTTTGAAGAAATATGAGATATCCCATTATTGGAAAGCTCTGTTGCCCTGGATGACAAATTACACGATGAGACAGAAGAAGGATGCAAATCTTAGTTTTAAAAGCATCTAATATTTGCTCAAATTATATTCAGCTGTATCTATCTACCATTCTGGCATGCTGATGGAATAGTATTATCAATAAATCTATAAATAGGATGCAAAATGCATGTGAGCTGTCTGTGGATGAAGAAAGAGCAGAGCAGCAATAAATTAGAGCATAATATATAGTTTAAAATGTAGCAAAAGGAGTGCCTCGACAAATCAACGCAACATATTTTGTCACTGCGAGGGAGAGATTCATTACACATCAGCCTTGAGAATGCTGGATTTCTGAAGCATGGGGTCATCTAGGACACATGATGTCATTGAGAGAGTAGGGAAACATGCATAGGAAAGCAAAAATAATCTGCAGAATAATAATACCATGTTAAATTTTCAGCTAAAACTGAAGTTCTCTCCAGTACTTCATTGCTCAAGAGAGTTCAGGAATGCAACAAGAGAGAGAAAAATAATGAAGCCTGACTTCTTATAGGTTTGGTACTCACAGGAGATTCAAGACTGATCCTCCTTCTGAGTCTCAGTCACGTGTGCAGGGTTTTCTTTGCCTGGATTTTCTGTGATGTGTATTACTGTCTAAGTTTTGTTTAGCTGAGAAACTTTTCTCCCTACAATGGAAAATCTGATAAATCATAAAATTTGGGGAAAGTCTGTGTTTTGGAGAACTGAGCTGGGAACTGTCAAACACAACTGAAACTCAGCACTAGATTTCAAAGTTGGCTAGAGGAGAGGACACAGTCATGAGGCCAGACGCAAACACCCAGCAGATTACATAAGAAAAAAAGAGACTAAAAATAAGATCAAGCCGCCAATTGGTTTTCCTGCTGACAGCAGCAAAGTGACACAGGACATCTAATTCCTTCTGATCACAAAAATGACAGACAAGTTTGCATCTACTTTGCCTGTGATTTGGGCCACCAATCCCCAGGAGTGGCATCATCACATCCCACTGCCATCAGGGAAGTGCCCCAGTGACATTGGCTGCTGATGTCAGTTGCCCTTTGGCATGCTCAGAAAGAGCAGTGTGGTAAAAAGTTTTAAATAAGGAATGGGGAAGGTCGTGATGAGCCTGGGGATGCTGAACTCTGGGATCCTATGTGTTGAGAGGCCACAGGAACCTCCTGCCTGCTTTGCTGGTGGCAGGGCTTTGAACTATGGTTATGAGGGAGGAATTGTTTGCTTCCCTTTTGTAGTGAAAGGACCAAACAGATTTATATTAGGAAAAAATACAAGCTGGGGGACAAAAGGATAGAGTACAGCCCTGCTGAAAAGGACCTGGGGAGGTGGTAGATGGCAAGCTGGACACGGGCCAGCAGAGCTTGCAGCCTAGAAAGCCAACTGTATCCTGGGCTGATCCAAAGCAGCGTGGTCAGCAGGGAGAGGGAGGGGATCCTGCCCCCTGCTCTGAGCTGAGAGACCTCACCTGATGCACTGCCTCCAGATGAGGAGTCCTCAGCACAGGAGAGAAATGGACCTGCTGGAGTGTGTCCAGAGGAGGGCAACAAATGATCCAATGATGGAACACCTCTCCTACAAGGCTGAGAGAGCTGGGCTGTGCAGCCTGGAGGAGAGAAGGCTCAGGGGAGACCTGAGAGCAGCCTGTCAGCATCTAAAGGGGCTGTAAGAAAGAAGGGGACAGACTCTTTGGCAAGGTCTGTGGTGGCAGGACAAGGGGGAAATGGTTTCAAAATAAAATGAGAGATATAGACTGGACATAAGGAAGAAGTTTTTAACAATAAGGGTAGTGAAGCACTGGCACTGGTTGCCCAGAGATATGGAGGATGCCCCATCCTTGGAGACACTCAAGGTCAGGCTGCACGGGGCTCTGAGCACCTGATGGAGCTGCAGGTGTCCCTGTTCATTGCAGGGATAGCCTTTAAAGGTCCCTTCCAATTCAAACGATGCTAAGATGATTCTATGATAAACACTTGTGTAACCGACCCGCAGCAGGGGGCTGGACTAGATGAGCTCCAGAAGTCCCTTTCAACCCCCACGATGTTGTGATTTCTGTTCTGTGACCGTCACGGATTGAACAACTTTGGAACGCGCTGCCAACGGGCCGCCCCGCGCCCCAGCACACGCCGCTCCCGCCCCACGCCGGCCCAGCAGGGGGCGCTGCAGCCCCAAACGGCGCCCGAGAGGCGGAAGCGAAGCACCGCTGTTACCCAAGATGGCGGCGCCCAGGCGCGGCGTGGCTGGGGTCAGGATGAAGCGGGCGGGGAGCCGCGCTCGCCGCGGCGACGGGAAGCTGGACAGGCTGCGGCTGGCGGTGCGGGAATTCGTGCAGGCGGCCGGGGACCAGCCGTCGTCGCAGCCGCCGCCGCAGCACCCGCTGAAAGGTTCGGAGAGGCCGAGCGGAAAGAACCGGCGGGACGCGAGGAAGGAGAAGCGCAGGCTGAAGCGGAGCCGCCGCCGCCTCCTTCGACGCGGAGACACGGGGGACGTCCCCGCCTCTGCGGCCCGGCCGGCTCCCGCTGCCCGCCCCACGGCTCCGGCCTCGTCCGCCGCCACCGAGAAAAAGCAGCCGGAACCGCCGCGACAGAAGAAGAAACCGGCCCCAAAAGCGTCGCGGCCATCGGTGGCGGCCCCGCGGCCGTCCGCAGCCGCTTCGTCGAGGAAACGGGCGCTGCTGGAGGCCAACGAGGAGGAGGACAGGGAGATCCGGCGCCTGGAGCGGCAGCTGAGGCTCGGCAAGCGCCGCAGGAAGAAGGGGGAGGCCGCGTCCGAGGAGCTGCCGCAGAGCTTCCTGCGGGACGGGCTGGGCTACGTGCTGGGTGCTCTGGGGTCCGGCGCCAGCCTCGCAGGGCTCTGCCAGAGCAGCGACGAGGAGGAGGACCCGAAGCCGGGGGGGCGCGGTGAGGACCCTGAGAAGACTGAGGAGGACCCCGAGGAGCTGGTGGAGGCCTCTGACGACTTCGAGGGGTCAGATGGGGAAGGGATGTGGGACAGTGAAAGCTCGTCCCGCGAGGACGGCGGGGTGCCTGCCAGAAGCGAGGCCTCGGACCCGGAGGAGGAAGAGCAGGAGGTAGGGAGCTGGCTTGAAATTATGCAGACTTGCTTTTCACAGTACGCACAAAGCAGATCTGACGTCACCTCTGCAAAGCGCTGGTGTTTGATGTCTGACCAGTGTGGAGACGAGATGGTGAAAACCATGCTGGGTGCAGCAGCAGCGTTGACTTCTGAGCTTCTGCCAAGTCTAAAGGCACATGCTGGCACATTGCAGCCTAACACACAAAGCCGTGTTTGTGTACACACAACCAACAAATAAAAGGAACAATAGTGTCACCATACCAGAGCCAGATTAAGCACTTCCCTATGATCATAAAAAGCCCATAAAACAATGAATACGCATTGGAAATTGGACTTCCTTCTTCCTGTGCATCCCAGATATTCTGCTTGTTTTTAGCTTTGTAGTGCAAGTGGAGAAGAGGAAGCCAAACACCATTCAGCCACGTAGCACTGGATTAATCTGAGAACACCAGTGCAGCTGAGGCTTTTACATGTGGGGGTTTCTGTTGTCTGTCTGGTTAAACTAGCAACCTAAGATGTCCATTTTATTAAAAGTAATTTACTTAAAACTTCATGGGAAGGGGAGAGGTAGGTTCTTTTGCTTCTCTCAAGCTGATCATAAGCAGTAACTTGCTGCATGCTTTTTTCCTGATGAGGCTGTTCCTTTGGCATTACTGTATGCTTCTCAGAAAATCTGATATATCAGTATTAAATTGAAATGTATACTTAAATTCAAGTGTTCTAAATACTAATTTCATCTGCTGATTGTTTTCTTTATAAGGATCAAAATCACAGTGCTACTAAGTACATTCCCCCTCAAGTGAGAAAAGCTCAGGAGGCTTTCGATGGCAAGAAGAAAGAAGAATTGGAAAGACTAAAGAAAATGGTGAATGGTCTCATTAATAGGTAATGGAATAAGGACAAGTCATTAATCTTTCTGATTCTATGTGACAGTGCTCATCATTCAAAGAAAAGTGGCATGGATGTGAACTTTTGTCTTTGCAAAGTGTTTTTAAGTTGGCAGCTGTGTCTGCTATCCTTAATAATAATTATCTTTGTTGATAGAAATTTTTCAAAGTTGGTAGTTATAGAAGTTGAAAGACCTGGAAAATAAATTTAAAATTGGGCTGAATTCCACACAGCTGCTGCCCACAAGTGCTAGCTATAATTCTCCAACTGTCAATTTCATTACATCTGTTTAAAACAACAACAACAATCTTGCAATGGGAGATCCCTACTATTCCCCCACCAGTATGCCATGTTAAAATTGAATAAAACAAACTTGGGGGTTTTAGTTTAGTGAACACAGCAAAATAGAAGAGGTCCATTACATTCATCTTCTTGCTCATTTTAGAGGAGCTAGCTGGGCTTATAAAACAGGTTGCAAGTTAGATACCTTGAGAATGGTGGAACCGTGCAGAGAGACAAAATAGCAAACACTGAATTTTGTTTCTCAACAGGTTGAGTGAGCCAAATTTGTCCTCCATCAGTGGACAGCTGGAAGAGCTCTACATGGCCAACAGCAGAAAGGACATGAATGAAACTCTAACAAGTATCCTTATGAATGCTTGTGTTACTGCAGTTGCTATGCCTGCAAGACTGATGATGGAACATGTCCTTTTGGTCAGCGTTCTTCACCATACAGTAGGAACTGAGGTAATTCTTGTGGCAGGGACTGATACTGTTCAATGATACAAGTTAGGGAACATATTCATATTCCACTTTGAGTGCCTTTTAGTTTCTGATTGTGTGTCACTAAATAAAATCTGTAGTTGAACAGATATTCTCACATGCTTAGGAGAACATTTGTGCACTGTATGCATACAGGTAAGAATGACTGCAGTTACAGGAGTCCTTCTGCATCAGTGGAGAGAATCCCTTTGGTTCTCTTAAAGCCCGGTTGTGCAAATCACAACTAGGTGTAAGGACTCCAGAATGTCAAAAACGTAAGGAATTATGGCAGCTTTCTCAGAAGTTGGGGTTTTTTGTATTTTTAAAGTTAATGGATGATTGAGGCATAACATGTCTTGCTTAGTGTCAGGAAGCTGAAATTACAAAGGAAGTATTTGAACTAATTTCAGTGACATTTTCATTAGAGAATTGAAGTGTTTCAGTAGAGTATTCCCATCTAATTACATTCTCAT